TGAAATCGTTATTTATTTCTTTTTCTCTCCCTTTATGAAAGTAGCGTCTGACGAATTCGTCAGGCATTCTGCGCTACATACCTGTCCTTTCCGTTGGCGTCCGTACACCTACGGAATATGACACGTTACGCTTGTCACAGGGTATTTTCGTCCCGTATCTCTTCGTATTTTGTTTTCCGCGGTTTTCGCGGGGACGTGCTCCGAGGGAAATCCCGAAGCACCGGTTCATTTTTAGCGCGTCAAAAACTCGGACGGAAAACGTGGACGGGCTTCGTGTATGAATTTTCGCGGATCGCGTCATCTGTCAAAGCGTGTCTTTAACCTGTCGTTATTTACCGTGTTTGCCGAAATTCCCGGACTCGTTAGAATTCAAAATAAATCGTCCGTCTTTGTTGCTTTTCGTCGGACCCCGCTGCTCTCAAGGTAACCATTTTTCTGTGTCACCTTGATTTTACTCTACTGGGTGTTCCGTTTATTTACATGGACAAAAAATACACGTTCTGTGACAGGAGACGGTGAACGGAACTCCGAGCGTTCAATATTTATTAATTTTTTCCTTGTGTACCCCGGGACGCCGCAAAGATGGACGCGACGTTTCTGTTTGTTTACGTCCGCGAGCCGTCTAGATCTCGCGTCGCGTCGCCGTCGATGATGGATAAAACTGGTTTTATTCCCGAAAATCATTGTTTACGATTCGATCGTAATTTATCTCGCGTCTCTCCAAAATTTCAATTATTATTAATCTCGCGCTATGATTTTTATCCTTCGTTTATACCCTAGCAATGTCCGGTAGCCGATGCTAATGACTTACAACCTTACAAAAACCCCTAAAGCGAATTTCTTCATTATTTTCAATTATTTTCACAATAATTCTCAACCGAGAAGACAGATCAGTGCACGGCAAGGTTGAAATAGGCAGCGAATAAATCATATCGATATCGCTGATAAAGAAAAAATTTAATAAGTCGCTGTACAGCTTGTAATAGGTTTCGTGTGTGTTCGTATCGCAGTCGATCATTAAACCTACCGAAGAGTAGCTGATCGTGATCGTGAGTAGAATTATTTGTGCGAGCAGCTCGGTCGCACGGAGGTGTCTACGATGGTTATTCAGCCAATCAGGTCTCCGAACTCGCTTAACCTTGTAATAAAACAACGAATCCATTAGTGTTGCCTTCTACCTTAACCGCGAAAGCTGCTGGATTTTCGTATCCGTCCGTCTTTTGTCTTCCATAATGATATACGCAAGCAGACAACGTAATGTTACATAGAAAAATGAGTCAGGAATATCAAATAAAATTTCCTCGTCACAGAATTATTCTTGAACGGTTCCGAAAGTTTCCACTGATGTTAATAACAAGCATGACGAGTCGCGAACAAAAATATTGCTCAACTCTATTCCATATCTATTCTATTTTTCACATAGATTTCACACAGAATAATTCCCCTGCCATTTACACGACGATGTCGAAGATACCCGATAAGTGTTTCCCCATGATAATCGTCGACGGTCGAATCACCTTATTACAAAATACTCGATTAAGTAATTCGTAGCGTTAGCATCGCGTTAGTCGCGCTCAAATCGCGGCAGGGGGGGAGAAAAGAGAGCCTGCTCGAGGCTACGACTCAATTTGGGATCCTTGGAGCGCTGCTGCGTCCGGCCATAGAAAAAATATGTATCTAGACGAGCAAGCTCGAATCCTTGCACCGCTCCGTTTCCCCGTCCTTTTCTCCATTGTTTACGTCCTCGAACTCTATCCAGTGAAACGCCCGGAGTTTTGTCCTTTCCCCATCCTTCTCTCTCTCTCTCTCCCTCCTCGTTCCCCCTCTCGATCCTTGCATCCCTCCTTCTCTCGCACTCTCTCTCCATCCTTTTAACCTCCATCCCCGTTTCGCACGCGAGCGAGCGAGCGAGCGAGCATTGCACGCCGGTATCAGGGAACGTTCGCGTTGTTTAGGTGAACACGTCGCCTCCAAACGACGCACATATCTGCGGTTCTAAGGCAGAGCGCCTTAAGTCATATGTTTTCCGTTTCGCGATATCGTTGTTTAAGGTTCTGCGCATCCACGCGCACTACTGCAGGACAAAGAGCCCGCGGACGCTTCCTGCCTCCCTGTCTCAACGAAATTTCCCCAACTTTTACGATCTCCGTTATCGGAAAGCAGCGTAAACGCACGCGTTCTCCACAGTGAAACTCCGTAACGACTATAAGGAAACCGTGACCATCGAATTGGAAGGTTTCTCCCCGTAATTCACGACTACAACTTCGTAATCGCGATAGTCGAACCAACGATCGC